ATGGGAAGGAAGGAGGGAAGAAAGAAAGAAAGAAAGAAAGAAAGAAAGAAAGAAAGAAGAGGGCAGGAAGGAAGGGAAGGAGGAAGAAGGAACGAAGGAAGGAAGGAAGGAACGAAGGAAGGAAGGAAAGAAAGAAAGAAAGAGGGATGGGAAGGAAGGAAGGAAGAGGAAGGGAGGGAGGAAGAAAGGAAGAAAGGAAGGAGGGAAGAAAGAAAGAAGGGGAGGGAGGGAGGGAGAGAGGAAAGAAAGAAAGAGGAAGGAAGGAGGGATGGGGAGGAAGAAAGGAGGGAAGAAAGAAAGAAGGGGAGCGAGGGAGGGAGGAAAGAAAGAAAGAAAGAAAAAAGGAAGGGAGGGAAGGAAGGAAGGAAGGAAGGAATTCAATTTTGGAGTTCAATTAGGATTGTACGTGGGATTATCTGTCTCGGTTTGCTCTTTAATCCAAAACATCTCCCACAGAAGGAGAGCTGGAGCTGAAAATCAAATTTTTGCAAATACACCCTTGCGATGACACCCTTTTCCGTTTCTAAAACCAGCGGATGCCTCCTGTGAACTTCACCCTCTCCAAAATCTTTCCCTGGCAAAACCTTTGCCCTAGCAAACGTTTCTCCTTCTTGAGGAGGGTCTCCTGCTTGAGCAGGGGGTTGGACTAGAAGACCTCCAAGGTCCCTCCCAACTCAGTCATTCTCTGTTATTCTCCAAAGCACCCGACAAGAAGCAACGGATGGACACTCAACCAAGGAGAGAAGCAACCTAGAACTCAAGAGCACTTCTTTATTATGGCTATTTATGTCATTTATGGAGGAAATTTATACGGCCACCCAACCCGCTCAGGGTGACTTAGGGAGGCTTAGAGAAATAAAACTGCAGTACAAAAACCAACAACAACAACCAAAAAGCCCTACTCCCCTGATGACAACAATCAAATCCACCACTTGATGGGCTCTTTGCAGAACCAGGTCTTCGGGGCTTTTCAAAAGATTGTCAAAATGGGGGGGGGGGGCTGATCTTATCTCAATGGGGATGGTGTCCCCCACACAGGGGGAGCCACCACAGAGAAGGCCCTTCTTCTTGGTCCCACCACATGGACCTCCTTAGGAGAAGGCCCTACTTCTTGGTCCCACCACATGGACCTCCTTAGCAGAAGGCCCTTCTTCTTGGTCCCACCACATGG